TTCTCAGTCTTTCCCGTTCCATGTCTTGTTTTCTTCCTTTCTTTTCTATAATTTCATTGCAAGTTGTCCATCTGCCACAACTCCTTACTGAAACCTTTCCAGTGGAATGGCTTTAAATGTTACCATCCATCAAAACCCAAGACCAGTCTCAAAAAAACAGAGGTTGATCTTAAAGAAGGAGCACCACGGACAAAATAATTCATATGTGAAAACACTTTGGTTTTCTTCTAACCCAAATTAGAGACGTCATTGTACTATTAATTTGGTGGGTTTATGCTCATTTAACAGAAGGGTAAAGTGATGCAGAGAAAGAACTTGAAGACTCAACTGCTATTCCAAAATGGATTTAAGCATGTGTTTGCTTAGTTCATTAATGCAGGTTCAAACTCCCTGTCAGGCCACCATCTGCCAGAAGAATGCAATGTCCTCATCTGGATGCAGACAGTTCCTCAGTAGCCAAACACTCATCAATAGGTGGCTGTTCCATTCACCATTACAGGTACTGCACCACATTCTTAAAAAAAGTATTCTCTTTGTGTTTACCAGGATAGATCACTCAGTGCTTGTAGTAGGTTCAAAACTGAAAACAAAGGTCCAAAAGTTATAAAAAGAGAGTAGCTATTCACAGCACAAACTGTCTTAATTTTGCTCCCCTTACAGTCACTTCTCAGGAAAAAATAATTAAATAACAATCTTCAATCTGTTTGTTGTTTCAGTTCATTTTAGGGTGACATAAACAGCTTTCAGTTCTTACATTCTGCACAAGCCTCCAGAAATATTCAGTGTTTACTAGAGCTCGGTGGTGTTAAATCAAGTATGACTATCACCCTTTAAGGCCTAAATGATAGAGCGATATCCATACCAATCACACATTTTGACAGTGTTGACACCTGCGTACATAGAAGCAGTTTACTGACTCTTATAGACCTGTAGAAAAGGGCACTAAAACTTATCAGTAATCCCAGGAATAACCTTTTATTTTCAAAAGTTGGTGTTTCCGTTCAAGTCTCTTGATGAACTCTGTGGCATATTCTACAGTGTATCTCATAAAAGACAAGTAGCTGGATGGAGAATTTCATTAAGCTACTCTCTTTCATCATTTTCAATGTGTAACTGAAAATGGATAGGAAATTATACTAGCTAACTGAAACTAGAACAATCCTGAAATAAACTCAGCAACTGGTGAGAGCCAAGAAAATCTTAATTGTTCTTTTTGATCACCTGAAAACTTTCACAGAATTCAAACATAACCAAAACTTTGTGAAAGCTGATCCTTTTTTGTCTGCTAATGGATTTTAAGAGCAGACTCGTTGAATGATGTAGCACCTGCTGTTGTCAATCTTTTCGTTCTTGTGTCAGTTGAAGGGGAGAGGGGGAAGGAAAAAAAAGAAAAAAAACCCACAAGAACATTGCACTGTGGAATAGAAAAATATGGTGTGCCCCAGGTGAAAAACAATCTGTTTCCATTTACTTGATTAGCCCTTGCTTCTTTGTTTAGTACTCAGCTTGACAAGCAACAGCCCACTAGCACCCTCCAGTAACAGCCAAATGCCATAGATTTGAGGAAATGTGAGAGCTGACCAAATCTTAGCACTTCACCTCACACAGGAGGGTTTCAGGTTTTCAAACTTCCTTCCTAACAGGTCTTTAATGATGTGTTTTCATGGCAAGCAACAAGCTGCACAGGTTGCCCGATGAGGGGAGCAGCGGTGATGGACGGGACCTGAACCTTCAGCACCACAGCCCCAGGGCGCTGACGAAGTTGTGCCTTCAGCACCGCGGACTGCGGACATTGCTGGAGTTGTCCCTTCAGCACCACGGTCTGAGCACACTGTAGCATCTACCCCTTCAGCACCACGGACTGGGGACTTCGCCGGAGTTGTCCCTTCAGCACCACGGACCGGGAGCACTGCTGGAGCTCTCCCTTTAGCACCACGGTCCGGGGACACTGCCAGAGTTGTCCCCTAGGCACCCACCTCCGGGGACACTGTGGGACCTGTTCCTTCAGCACCAGCTCTCGGGGACACTGCCAGAGCTGTCCCTTCACCCCCGCCACGCCCCAGGGGCAAAGAGGGTCCTGTCCCTTCAGCACCAGGTTCTGGGGACACTGTCGGACCCGTCCCTTGGGCAGCAGCGCCCGCCCCGCCCCGCCCGCGGCCACCCCGCAGCGCCGCTGCCCCAGCACCTGCCGAGAAGCACCGGCCTCTTCCCGGCTACCAGGGCAGTGGGCTGATGGGCCACGGCCAGCCATAAACGCCTTTGATTAAATTAGAGCTACAGTAGTTGAAATCAGCGCAGCAACGAGGTAATTGCTTCGGACATGTTGCTAGCACGGCAGTATCATGGAGTGCAATTAAGTTAGACATAAATTAGTCTGCGACCATATGCATGCTGCTCGACTTTGTGGTCCGCCGATTCCTTTCATTGTTTTCTCAGAAGGGAAGTTTTGTGGAGATAGAGGTAACTGTCCAGATTAGGGAAGGCAAGGTCTTTGTTCATTCAGTTTTAAAAATCAGCCCGTTAGTTAGACACACTTTTGCAGGAGTACCTACTGACTACAGCATGTTCCCCAATGCATATCCCACTGCATGTGCTTCTGGAAGTCTGTCTGGAAGGTTTTAGAGGGAGAAGGACATGTATGTAAGAGCATACACACAGATTTTTTGAAAAAAGAATCTTCACTAACGATTAACATGGACATTTAAAATCACTTCCCAGTGCAAGAAACACAGATAAGAACTCTTATTTTCCTGAGAACTTAAACAAAGAAAGCATTTTTTTCCCCTCTGTGAGCCAAATTATTTTAAGATAATAAGAAGTTTAAGAAAAATTCTCCATGCTCACTTTTACAGACTACCAATAGATCAGATACCATCATGAAGGCACTTTAGTACAGAAGAGACGGTACAAAAAATAGCAGTGCATTTGGCAGGATGCAGATAGCAACTATTAATAAACTTTTAAAAGACAGATCAGATATCCTCCAGGAGCAAAGCTTCCCAAATGAACAATCGTTACAGAATGTCTGTCTTTCTGCATTGTTCCTTATTGTTACTCTTCCTCCCAGTGGTTCCCTGTTGCTATACACATTTTTAGATTTAAACAATTCTGACATCCCGAAGTGCCTCTGCCTACAGAAATGCACGCTATCCTCTGCATGCTGAGGTGGTCCAAGCTTCCTGAACAAATTCCAGCTCTTTGCAGGAGAGAATGCTAAAGCTTCCCAAGCAAGTTGTACTTGTTTCCAGGTAAAATATGATCAAAACAGCAAACTACTGTACAAACAGCCCTTTCCACCCTTCACCAACTGAGCTTACGAATGCAGCAAGTGTTGCAGTCGCTTTTAGGCAGGAGTACAGGGCACCATGAGTACACAGGAGTATGCATGGAAGCCTTGTTGTAATCCAGGGGGGTACGACAGTCCAGTATTCACTTTGCAGAAATAAGTGATAAGAGACAGGTCGAGAATTAGAGACCCAGTGGCCAAAGGAGGAAAGAGAGTTCTGACATTGTAATGAACAGCGGGAAATACAAATCATCAGCCAAAGTTCCATTCTACTTTATATTCCATAACCTACTAACATTTGCTATTTATATTAGTATATCTAATAGCAGAAAAGAAGAGGAAATTATCCCTTAAAAAATCATATCTTCGTAAGGGTAAATAGGCTTTAAACTGTCAGATGGTCTTTCAAAGGAAACTATTTTATTGCTCCAGGTATAATACTAATACAGACACAAGTAGATACTTCTCAAAGGGCAGTGGACAACACATTCTGCAGAAAACTGAGTATCTTCAGGTAGCAGTGTAAAAATTTCTTGTAACAAGCCCGAAATGGTAAAAAGACTGAGTCCTTCTGTATTAATAAGAGCTACTTTCATGTCCTGTTCTGTACAATGCACTACTAAACAGCCCCTGAGCTAGAAGGGTCTTTTCAGATCTCCCCAGTTGTTAGGGGGGAATATCTAGAAATTCTGGGAGAACAAAAGTTACAAACAGTCTCAGTAAATTCACCTTAAAGAATACAAAATCAGGGGAGAAAACCTTCTCATGCAGCCAAAGCTGGAGTTGTAGCACAGTTCTGTGTGCACTCTGCAGCCTCTAATCATCGTGGTGTTTATTTTCATGGCAGGGAAGCAAACTTTGTGTGAAATGCTCAGCTTTAGCTGCGGGAAGCAGGGAAGTATAAAATGACAGCCCGTGGCTGTGTCCACTGACTGTCCCTTAACCGTCCTGGGAAATGGCACATCTGAGAGCTGGGCAGCACGGATGTGACAGCAGGCAACATTTTGCCTTTCACATCACGTGCCCAGAAAGGGTAGATACAGGCTGTGACCTGTTGACACATCAGACACTCCAGCTGCAATAAAAACTTCAGGAACACATTGGGAATGCCCAGGAAAGGCCCAGCAATGGGACCACAGCTGCGGGAACCACCACCACAGCCCTTGCCAATACCAAAACAAAGTTTGTGGAAGCGGGGCTACGCTTGGCTACGTCGAGGGCTTTCCCAGCTGATCCAGTTCCCATGCCCTCTTCATTTTCATTCTCATCCATCTGCCTTTTGCCTAAGTTTTCCCTATGTCCCTTAAGCAAAGGTGCAAGAAGGAGCGTGGCAACAGGGCCTTCTTCCTGAGGGGAACCCCAGGAGAGTGTTACCCTGCCTCTCCCCCCACTCTTCCTCGCCACTCAAGCCAGAGCTCCATGGTAGCCACCTGGCCACTGCCAATTCCCCTTGCTAGAGCAGCCCCACTCCTCCCCAGTGTCACCCAGGAGACAGAGAATCCATCTCCAGGAGAAGAGGTACAGGACACTGCCAAGTCCAACAAGTGCCCAAGAGGAGCAATGAATTACATAATAGAGGAAGGGAGCAAGAAATTCATCCAGCACCTTTGCATGTCACAGCCTTCCTGCCCCTCTTCCTTTCTCCCAACCCGGGGAGCATTTGTCCCAGCCCCCGCCGTAGGCCCACAGGGCCTCCCCGAGGGGCGACACTCACCGATGGTCGTGATGACCGTGATGGCAAAGTAGAAGGAGCCGGCGAATTTCCACTGGACTCCGGCTCGGTGCGGCTCGGACTGCATGATCACCAACTCCAGCTGCCGGTAGTCCTCGCTGGTGATGTTGTACTTTCCTTTGAGCCGGATCTCCTCGGCTTTGAGTTTCTCCTCCTCCCGCATCTCGTTGTCGGACTCCAGGGCATCAAAGACGGCAGCCCCGACCAGCAGGTAAGTGAACGTGCAGATGATGAGGGACAGGGTCCGCACGTTCTGCCTCTTCATGGCCGCCAGCAAGGGGCGAGTGAGGGGACCATGTCCCCCCCTGGCCGCCCGGGGATCCGACAGGCCGCAGCAGCCACAGCAGGGGAGCAGCCGCCGGGGGGGCTGGCGGCGCCCGCCGCCGCCGCTGCCGCTGCTCCGGGGCAGCTTGTGCTGCGGCGGCGGCCGCTCTCCGCCCGCCTGCTCGGACTCCTGCGAGGAAGAGAGGCACAGGAGGCTGCTGGAGCGCCGGGACCAGGTGCCCTGAAGCCGGGAAACTCTGCGCAGGACCTGCCCAAACCAAGCCGTCCCAGTGCGCAGGGCCATCCAGGGCACCCCCGCTCCTCCCCAGCACCGAGGCCAGGGGCAGGGGGTCCCCGCCGAGGGGCCGGCGGCCCCGGCACGGAGTCCTGCGGCGGGCGGGTCCCCCCGCGAAGTTGTGGCGGAGGCGCGGGGAAGGGTCGCCCGCAGCCCGGGCGGGGCGCGGCGGGGAGGCGGAGGCCGCCGCCGTCCCAAGTTTCTTCAGGCGGAGCGGTGGGGCCGGGGGGGGCCGGGCGGCGGCAGCGCGCCCATCCGCGGAGGAGGAGCGGGGCGAGGGGCGGCGGGTGCCGGGCTCCGATCGTCGGGGACCCGACCCGCCCCGGCCCCCGGCTGCTTGCGGGAGCGCCGGGCGGGCGGGTCGGGACGGGCTGGGCGCTCTCTATTCTTTCCGCCGCGGTGCGTGGCGGGCGGCGGGGAGCCGGGAGGCTGCTGCTGCTGCTGCTGCTTTTGCTGCTGCTTCTTTTGCTGCTGCTACTGCTGCTGCAGGTGGCCGCGGCGTGGGCAGCGGAGCGGCGTCCGGCGCGGCGAGGGCGGCGGCGGCGGCGGTGTCAGGCGGCGGGCGCGGGGCCGGGGGCAGCATCCCCGGGCGCGCCGGGCCGCGCCGCCGCTCCGGCGGGAGGCGGGGGCGCCGGGCCGGCGGCGTGGCCCTGGCGGCGGGATCCGGCGCCCCGCGGGCGGGAGGAGCGGCGCGGAGCCGCCCCGGCCGGAGGGAGGGCGGGGGAGGCGCCGGCGGCGACCGCGGAACGAGCACCTGCCCCGGGGCAGCGACGGGGCGGGACGGCGGCGGAGGGCGCTGGCTCCGGCCGCGGGGATGCCTGGCGGGAGCGGGGAAGCGCCGGCGGCTTCCCCCGGGGAGCGCGGGAGGGGAGAGCTCGGACCCAGTCGGACACAAACACGGAGACGAGAATAAAAATTAAAAAAAAAAAGAATGAGAGAAGAAAGAAAAAAAAAAAAAAAAAGGAAAAGAGGGTTAAAAAAAAAGGAACGGGAAAATGAAAGGGTACTTTCACGGCTGCTGCCCCGGCGCTCTGGGCGGGGGCTGCTTTATTTAGGATGGTTTTTAGAACAAAGCCGTTAAGAAAAAGAGCAACCGTCCTCCTCCTCCTCCTTCTCCCGGGCTCTTGACATCATCTCGGGGAGAAGCGAGCCCGCGCCCCGCAGCCATCGCCTGCGCGCGTGTGTGTGAGAGAGCGTGTGTGTGTGTGCGGGCGTGTGCGTGTGTGTGTGTGAGTGTGTGCGTGTGCCCGTGCCCGTGCCCGCTCCGCCGCGAGAGGCGGGATGCGGGATGCGGAGCCCGCCCCGGCCCGCGGCGGGGAGTGCGTTAACCCCCTCGGTGCCGCCCCGGCTGGGAGCGGCCGCGGAGCATCCCTGGCTCCCTCCCGCCTCCCCCGGGCCCGGCCACGCCCCTGTTCCCGCAGGGACAGCCCGGAGCGGGGCGGGCTCGTGCCGTTCCCGCAGGGACAGCCCGGAGCCCCTCCCGCTCTCCAGCCGAGCAGCGGACAGCGGCCGGGACAGGTTCGTGCCCGCCTCCCCCGTGGCCTCACGCACCGCAGCTCCACGCACCACCGCCCCTCCACAGACGGACACGTACAGCCCCACACACCGCCGACAGGCACACACGCAGAGCTCCACACCCTGAGCTTCACAGACCATCGCCTCCTTCCCAGCATTGCACACCACCGGCCACACACACACATGCACTGCTCTACCCACCCCGAGCATCACGTACTATGGTCCTCATGCACACACCCATACAGCCCTACACACACCCGTACAGCCCCCAGCACACCCATAGAGCCCCCACACACCCGAACAGCCCTACACACACTCATACAGTCCTACACACACCCATACAACCCTACACCTGAGCATTGTGCACCACCGACCATACACACACACACACACACACACACACACACACACGCACACACAGAGCCCTACACACCCCGAGCATCACACCCCCCAGTCACACACACTCAGCCACTCACCACACCTTGTCCTGACGCTGCATGCACATGGAGCTCCACACACCACAGTTCCACTCAGGCAGCCCCTCCACACACACACACACTGACCTACACACACCATAGCCACACGCCCCACAACCACACACCACAGCCACACACACCACAACTTGCTCAGATCCTCAGCCAAATGCACACAGCACCACACACACACAAACCTGCCCACACTACAGCCCTCCACACATCGCCTCCACACCACACAGCCCCTTTCCCAGCCTCAGCATAGCCCCCCAAGCACAGGGATAGGCATAGATACATGGCATAGGGGTGGAACTGAATGATCTTTAAGGTTCTTTCCAACCCAAACCATTATGTGGTTCCATGATCATTACATACAGCACACATGCACACAGTAAAATGTTCCTGATGGCTCAGAGGAGGCAGCCCAGTCTCACAGAGTCCACCCCCTGCCCCACAGATCCTGAGCCACCACCCTGGGAGGATGCAATCCCTCAGCCGCTCTAGTCCACATCCTGTCTCTCCCTTTACCATCAGGTTTCCAGCACCAGGTGTTACCACAGGAGCCTGGGGCTGCTTTTATGTCCTCTCTGAGACAAGGCTGCCCCTCCTGGTGTCGCTTTGCCCCCGGGGAACTGTAGGCATCCTCCTCAGTTAGGGCTGGGATTTTCAGCCTTACTCAGTGAGGGCTGAGCTGGTCCTGACTTCTCTGAGCCTCAGGTGACATTCCCCTGTTTTAGGTCTTTCTCAAATCCTAGAGCCCTAGGGCTAATTAATCTAACCTTCCATTTCTAAAAGCAACTGTCTCACTCCTGGCTAGACACTGTCTAAAGTCTTTGGATACACTTCCTGAAATATGAGGGGTCAGATGGATTAGATCAGTCTCCAAGAACGAAGCCCTTTGAAAGGTGCACCCCAAGCTAAGCAGACAAAACTGGTCACAAATCCCTTTCTGAAACTCCTGATGCAGGGAGAAGGAAGAATTCATTTCATCAGTTCAGCAAACAAGAGTTCACTCAGGTCAAAATCTGCATCACGTCACCTGAACGTTACCAGAATTGTTACAGCACCACATGCAGCAACAAGGTCTCACCTGCTGAAAGAAGCAATACGGGGAAGAAGGGGAAAGGAGGAGAAAAGAGGAAATATCTGGTTTTGATCAACTCCTTAAAAATAGAAGTCTGATTACCATTGCCCATTTCTGATTCCCCAAGGGAGAGCAGGAGAAGAGGAATCTATAAATAGTTTGCAACACAGAGAATCCTATAGCAAAGTTGCTGGGAAAGATCAATAGCATGATTCAAGGAGGGCTCCAAATTACATCTCAGGGGAGGGAGGTGCTGAACAGAATTGATAAATGAGTTGCAAATGCTGTGTGTGTTGTGTGTATCTAATTAACAGAGGGTGACTGGGATCAATAGCAAGGAAGGAGATGGTCTAAAAATAGCACTCAGGAAGGGACTGCAACCTGCAGGCAACAGCCTGGATGGAAATGTCCCCTGGAGTAATTAACCTTTATCTGGAAAGGGAAGGTTAGTGTGGGGTCAAAGTGGGGCCTGTGCACAGCTGGGAAGGGATGAGGTCTCCATGGGATTTAGGGCACAGAGTAGTGTGACAGTCGGGGGGGACAGGCACAGCCATGAGCTTGCAGCCTTCCTCTGATCAGGTGGCAGTGACAATCTGCTGAATGGTGTACTGCTTTCTGGAGAAATATCTGAATAATAACATTTTGCTGGGGTTGTGGAACAGGAAATATTTGCCATTCTGTGTACTCATAATGGATTTGACGTTGCTTAGAGAAATGTAACAGTTATTTTTTTAAACATCTATTGGCAACCATAAGAGTCTGGGATTTTCTTCTTTTTTTGCTGCCCCCATCACCAAGAAAGTATCCACCACTCTGAGGATTTACTCTGAGGATTCTGAGTCTTTGCTCATCCAGACTCACCAGCAAATATATATTTGAACCACAGAGCAACTAACTTTCCAAAGAGAAGTGCCCTTCAATCTATGACAAAGACGTCAGGCAAACACCAGGGAGAAGGACTGATGTTGGGCAGGATGATCTATGGTTCAGCTCACAGGCTCTGCTGAAGTGCCAGTCTGAGCTGGCATCAACCAAGTGAGAGGCAGAGACACATACACATCCAGGAACAGAAAGTTCATTTTCAGCCTGAGTGCAGGATTTGGACCTGGGGTGTATGCCATGACTGAAAGAAAAGGAAACTGTAAAGATGAAGAATCTAGAAAATATAACATATCTCTTTGTAAAGATGGCAGAAAAGCACAGGAGGGGTAAGTGGTAAGTGAAGAGCTTTTCTCTCTTTAATACAGATAGAAGTGACTAAGAAGTCCTGGACAAAAGTTTTCTCCATAAGATTAAAAAAAAAAAGGGTCTTTTATTCTGTCCTAGGTGGAGCTAACAACAAACCATATTTAGTCACCTAAAGGAAAGTTAACTCAAAGTACCAACACATAACTTAGCTCCTTTCAGTTTAGTCTGACTTGAGGGAGAGAGCACAGCCTGGAAGATAGGTGTGCAGTGGGTGCCCTGGCTGCTGACAGCTGTGCTAACCCAACGCTGCACCTACTCTCTCCACAAAAAGTCAGTGGGAATTTGAAATCTCCCACATTTGAGGTAAGATTGCATGGGTGCTGTTGTGTCACAGCAGCTCTCCTGTCTAACCTTGAGTTCACTCTCCAGTGAAGGCAAGAGCTAAGAGAAAGGCAGCTACACTCTGAGCTTCTTCTGTGGGCCAACTTCTGCAGTCCCTCCTGTGTACCTGTCAGTGATTCCCCTTGAGAGATCTAATGTCTCTCTCTGTGCAAGAGGGGAGCCATCTTCCAGCTGAACCACAGGAGTTATAACAAACCAGAAAAGGGGAAAAAAAAACCCAAACCAGAAAAATAACTGACAAACATGATCAAAACCAGAAAGAAGAAGAGATAACCTGTTTATGCTTCTACACAGGTTATCAAGGAACTGTTTTATTTCTCTGGAAATGGTGGCACAAAGATGACCAGAACAGCGGTTCTGTTTCAGGACAAGGTTTATTGACCACTAAAGTCCTTTTTCCACAGAAGTGTTACAAGACACAAGGGAGAAATGCAAACAGAACAAGTATGTGTGATTCTTTTTCATCCCTTAACTATTATCCCAATCTCAAACTATTTTAAATCATGATTTTCTGAGTTCTTAGTAAGTTGCTCTATTTGATGACCCATGATGGATTTTTCTCCCAAGCACTTTTCCTCTCTCTTCCTAAACCCAGCTAAATTTTTTTGCATCCTCAGCAAAAATTCAAGCCAAGTCCAGAATGGATGGGGCTGTGAGCAACCTGGTCTGGTTGAAGATGTTCCGGCCTATGCCAGGGACATTGGAACAAGATGATCTTTAAGGTCCCCTTTCAACCCAAATCATTCTCTGATTCTATGAAAAATTGTCATCCTACCCAAAGAAGTGGTTCGGTGGACACAGAGCAGGAAGAGCATTCCCCTTTATCTG